CCTCCCAAGTAGCTAGGACCACAGGCGCCCGCCACAACGCCCGCCATTTTTTGGTTGCAGCCGTCATTGTTGTTTGGCTGGGGATTTGAACCTGCCACCTTAGGTGTACGTGGCTGGCGCCCTAGCCAGTTGAGCTATAGGCGCCGAGCCAGGAACCTGTGTTTTAACAGGCTCCCCAGGTAAACGGTGAGGTGACTGAGTACACAGTTGGGACCAAGACTTCCAGCCAGTACAGGAGATGCCAACCTTCTAGCTCCAGTCCAGACTGGTACTCTGAATTCCTGACCTGTGTATCCAACTACTACTTGACATGCTCTCTGGACCTCAAATTTAAGCACCCAAACTTTCGATCTGCCTCCAACCAGCCCCACCCATACACTTCTCCATTCCAATTGATGACAGTTCAGTAATTTAAGCCAGATGGTCTAGCATCATCCTCAATTCCGTGCCTCCTCTAGAAGTTCTGTTGGCTGAACCTTCTCACCACCCCTCTGCTACCCTTCCCTGAGGCACCATCGGGTCTCACTTGAGTTATCAGGATGGTTCCTAATCCTCACTGTTTCTTCCCTGGATCCACTTAAAGCTCATTCTCAGCACAGTAACCAAGGTGATTATATAAAAACATGAGTTAAACCATGTTACTTTTCTGCCCCCACAGAGAAGTTCCTGTCACAACCCACAGGAACTGTATTAAAGGGCCGCAGCATTAGGAAGGTTGAAAACCACTGCTCAGGCTCAGCGCCTGTGGCTCAGTGGCTAAGGTGCCAGCCACATACACCTAAGGTGGTGGGTTCGAATCCAGCCTGCCCGCCAAACAACAATGATGGCTGCAACCAAAAAACAGCTGGGCGTTGGGGCGGGTGCCTGTGGTCCCAGCTACTTGGAAGGCTGAGACAGGAGACTCACTTGAGCCCAGGAGTTGGAGGTTGCTGTGAGCTGCGATGCCACAGCACTCTACCCAGGGTGACAGCTTGAGGCTCTGTCTCAAAAAAAAAAAAAAAGAAAGAAAGAAAACCACTGCTCTAGTGGCTCCATCTCAGAGTAAAAGCCAAAATGGCCTCAAGGCCCTCCTTAATCTGGCCCTGACCTTGTCTATATCATTTCCAGATGTTGGCTCCTCCCAGCTCACTTTGCTCCAGTCACACCGCCTCTTCCTCTTTCCAAACTGCCAGTCCTGCTTCTGCCTCAGGACCTCTGCATATGCTGGCCCCTTGCCTGGAATGCTCTTCCTTCAAATCTCACCAAGACTTGCCCCCAAAGACCTCCTTCAAGATTTTGTCCAGATGTTAACTTCTCACATCTTTCTTGATCTCCTCCTCTTCGTTTTTCTCTATACCAATTAACACCCTCTAATGTTTCCTTCTTTGTTTTGGGCTGTCTCCCTCACTAGAATGACAGCTTAATGAGGTCAGAGATGTTTTTGTCAGTTTTACTCACTGGCCTAGAGGAGGTGCTCAATAAATGGTAATTGAATGAAAGAAGGTGATACCTGAAACCTGGAGAAAAGGGACATGCTCAGGGTCACAGCCATCCAGAATCAATGGTTTTCATCTTGGAAAAAAACAGAGCTCTGAGTCCTCAACTCCAGCCCAAAGTTCTCATATGTCATATGCCAGGTCCTAGACTTCATCCCCAAGACAGAGACGAAGGACAGTCCAGCCTTTGGGAATGCCTGTGGGACTCGGCCAGAACTGGGGTGCTCCCTCAAGGAAGTTGAAAACAGGAAGGGGCTCCTCTAAGAAGGGAGTCTGCAGATTCCACTGCCACAGTCCTGCACTGGTGGCAGCCACAGCCACGGAACATCTCCCCCTGTTCCTCGTCGCTGGCTGGGTGCAAGCCTGGGAGACAGCTGCTGGGCCCGGAAACCTGACCCCATTGGGGAGCGGAAAGAGCAGCAGAGGGCGGCATGCTGCAGGAGGCCCAGTGCTCCTCTCCCATTGTTGGCATAGAACCAGCCAAGGGGCTCTGTCACCTTGCACCCACTAGTGGCCACACTGGTTAGGGCCAGAGAAGAACCCTGAATCTTTCCAACCCCACCGAGGGAAGGGCCCCTCTTTCCCACACAGGGTTCCAGATGTCCACGTGAAGATCCAGAGGGACGGGGCATCAGTAGCCTGTGAGGCCTGGGCCCACCAAACCAGCAAGATGAGGCTGCCAGTGATCAGCCCACCAGATGAGCAGTCTCTGTGAACCAGGCTCAGGCCAGGCCACTTTATACCTACCCAGACCCAATTACCAAGGAGTAAACAAAAGCACAGGGAGAGGGAGGGAGTGACTCCACCGGCAGCCTGACTGCTCCTCCTACTGCCCTCCCCTCTTTGTCCCTCCAGCTGCTCACCCACAGATGGGGATACCTCCTCCCAGGCAGCTGAGATGCAGAGGTTCAGGCATGAGTTAAAAGGATAAAGAGCAAGTACCAGGTGGCTTTTATTGCTGTGCTGGGCACCAGGTCTGCTCCCTGCACTTCCCACTGGCTAGGGGAGAGGGCGCTGGAGAGACCCAAAGGCGAGCTGGGGACTAGGCTGAGGCTCCAGTGGCTGAGTTCTGGGGAGGACTCCTGATGTCTGGCCATCTTGACAAGGAAGGCTCAAGAGCCACATCCTTCCCCAGGTCCTGAATCGGCCGGGGCAGGGTTGGGGGATGGGGGCCTGCAAGTCCTACCCTTTTACTGTGTGACCTTAGGGAAGGGGATGTCTGAGTGGTTTCCCCCTACAAGACGTGTTGAGAGAGCAGAGTGGCCACACCTAAGGTGGCAGCTAGGTCTCTTAGTTCTGTGGCTCCTGCCAGCAACTTCTTCCTCTGCTCCCCGGGAGCTGTGGCCTGCTCCTGGGAGCTTCTCTGGAGTCATCATCTGAACCTGGTGGGAAAGGAAGGGCAGGAAGAGAGAAATAAAGCTATAGGTATGACTGGACATGGTGGCTTACACCTGTAATCCTAGCACTTTGGGAGGCTGAGGCAGGTGGATTGCTGAGATCAGAAGGTCAAGACCAGCCGAAGCAAGAGCAAGACCCCAACTCTACTAAAAAGAGAAACACTTGGGCGGCACCTATGGCTCAGTGGGTAGGGTGCTAGCCCCATATATCAAGGGTGGCAGGTTTGAACCTGGCCCCAGCCAGCTAAAACAGCAGTGACAACTGCAACAACAACAAAAAGCCGGACATTGTGGCAGGTGCCTGTAGTCCCAGCTACTTGGGAGGTTGAGGCAAGAGAATTGCTTAAGTCCAAAAGTTAAAGGTTGCTGTGAGCTGTGACACCACAGCTCTCTACTGAGGGTGACAAAGTGAGACTCTGTCTCAAAAATAATAATAATAAAATAAAATAGAAACACTAGCTGGGCATCGTGGTGAGTGCCTGTAGTCCCAACTCGGGAAGCTGAGGGAAGAGGATCCCTTGAGCCCAAGAGTTTGAGGTTGCTGTGAGCTATAATGATGCCACAAAATTCTGCCTCCAGAAAAAAAGAACTAGTTACAGAGAATCAGAGAGAGATTCTGATACTGACAGATACAGAGAAAGATAGCCAGGGACAAAGAGAGAAAGCTACAGGGTGGCGCCTATGGCTCAGTGAGTAGGGTGCTGGCCCCATATACAGAGGGTAGCAGGTTCAAACCCAGCCCTGGCCAAACTGCAACAAAAAAATAGCCAGGTGTTGTGACGGACCCCTGTAGTCCCAGCTACTCAGGAGGCTGAGGTAAGAGAATCACCTAATCCCAGGAGTTGGAGGTTGCTCTGAGCTGTGACATCATAGTACTCTACCAAGGGCAATAAAGTGAGACTCTGTCTCGGGGAAAAAAAAAACAGAGAAAGCTACAGAGAGATTCAGAGACAGCCCAATGCATAACTGGACACAGACAAAACCAGAGACAGAGGCTCGGCGCCTGTGGCTCAAGCGGCTAAGGCGCCAGCCACATACACCCAAGGTGGTGGGTTCAAATCCCCAGCCCGGGCCCGCCAAACAACAATGATGGCTGCAACCAAAAAATGGCCAGGCATTGTGGCGGG